TGTTCATCGGGAACCTGCCGCGGGAGGCGACGGAGCAGGAGATCCGCTCCCTGTTCGAGCAGTACGGGAAGGTGCTGGAGTGCGACATCATCAAGAACTACGGCTTCGTGCACATCGAGGACAGGACGGCGGCCGAGGACGCCATCCGCAACCTGCACCACCACAAGCTGCACGGCGTCTGCATCAACGTGGAGGCCAGCAAGACCAAGGGCAAGGCCTCCACCAAGCTGCACGTGGGCAACATCAGCCCCACCTGCACCAACCTGGAGCTGCGCGCCAAGTTCGAGGAGTACGGCCCCGTCATCGAGTGCGACATCGTCAAGGACTACGCCTTCGTGCACATGGAGCGCGCGGAGGACGCGGTGGAGGCCATCCGCGGCCTGGACAACACCGAGTTCCAGGGTGAGGGGCAGGACTGGGGGGACAGGATGGACAGAAGGACAGGGGAAGTCATACATGGCTTGGACAACACCGAGTTCCAGGGTGAGGGGCAGGACTGGGGGGACAGGATGGACAGAAGGACAGGGGAAGTCATCTATGGCTTGGACAACACCGAGCTCCAGGGTGAGGGACAGGAGGGATAGGAAGTAATCCACGGCCTGGACAACACCGAGTTCCAGGGTGAGGGGCAGCACTGGGGGGACAGGATGGGCAGAAGGGTCAGGGGAGGTCATCCACGGCCTTGGACAACACCGAGTTCCAGGGTGAGGGACAGGAGGGATAGTGGAAGTCATCCATGGCCTGGACAACACCGAGTTCCAGGGTGAGGGGCAGCACTGGGGGGACAAGGATGGGCAGAAGGGTCAGGGGAGGTCATCCACGGCCTTGGACAACACCGAGCTCCAGGGTGAGGGACAGGAGGGATAGGGAAGGCCATCCATGGGTTGGACAGCACCAAGTTCCAAGGTGAGGAATGGCACAGGGTGGACAGGAGGGACAGGGCAGGTCCCACCCTGGGGGTTCAGCTGGGTCTACAGTGCTGTCTCTCCCCACACCTCACACCGTGGGCAGTGCCACCGTGTCCTGCTGGGCTGAGGCTGTTCCGTGTGCTCAGCTGGCCAGGAAGGCCAAGGGTATCCTCATGTGCATCAGGAATGGTGTGGCAGCAGGACCAGGGCAGGGATTGTCCCTCTGTGCTGGCACTGGTGAGGTCACACCTCGAGTGCTGTGTCCAGTTCTGGCTCCTCACTGCGAGGAGGACACTGAGGGACTGGAGATGGGAAGGGAATGGAGCTGGGGTAAGGTCTGGAGCAGCTGAGGGAGCTGTGTGGGCTCAGCCTGGAGAAAAGGAGGCTCAGGGGAACCTTCTGCTCTCTCCAGCTCTTGCCAGGAGGTGCAGCCAGGTGGGGATCAGACTCTGCTCCCAGGGAGCAGTGACAGGACAAGAGGTAACACCTCAAGCTGTGCCGTGGAAGGTTCAGCTTGGCCATCAGGAGGAATTCCATCATGGAAAGTGCTGTCAGGCATTGGAATGTGCTGCCCAGGGAGGTGGTGGAGTCACCATCCCTGGAGGTGTCCAAGAGCAGACTGGATGTGGCACTTAGTGCCATGGTCTGGTTGACATGTTGGTGTTAGGTCACAGGTTGGACTTGATGATCTCGAAGAGCTTTGCCAACCTCATTGCCTCATGGATTCTGTGGCTCTGTGTCATCCTGCTGTGCCAGGGTTTGGCTCAGGGGCTCATGGATGTGTCCCTGCCCGTGTCGGTGCCACGGGATGGGATGTCCCCGGAGCTGTGGCACTGTGGTAGCTCTGTGTTGGGGCAGAACAGCTCCACAGTGTCAGTTGTGCAGGGATTGTCCCTGTGGCACAGTGCCAGGGGTGGCTCTGAGGGTCCCTGTGGCACAGTGCCTGTGCCTGGGGCAGCCCTGGGGGTCCCTATAGCACAGTGCCCATGCCAGGGATGGCTCTGGCATTCCCTGTAGCACAGTGCCAGGGGCAGCACTGGGGGTCTCATGCTGTAGTGTGCATGCCAGGGGCAGCTCTGGGGGGCTCATGCTGTAGTGCCCATGCC